AAGTTTTAGGATATGTAACATTAATGACTGTTGCCAGCAAGTTTCAAGGATAAATTCTTCTCCAGTTTTTCAAAAATTTATGTATTAGTTCACAATAGAAGTAAAAACTGATGATTAATAAATTATTGTATTTTTAGTTAAAGAAATAATATACACGATAACACTTTGTGTCCTAATTTCATAGTCAATGCTTTGTGAGAAGAAAAGAAAATACTTTTATATACAGGTTGGTTTACCTAAACCAGGTCATTTTTGAACAGCGGAAAAATTTTTTTTTTGTACAGATTACAAAAGATAAACATAAGTGAAAAACATATCGTACCAAATCAACAAGAGAGAACACAACAAATCTTTTCAGACAGACACTGCCTTCGAATGACATCATTGGAACTGAAAGGATCGAATTGAGCTGATGTTAAATTAAATCACGTCCTCTCGTATTGAATGGCGAGCAGAAACGTTTACCAAGACACGGATCGCTATTGGCAGAAACGTCTGTGAATCGACGACGGCGAACTATGGGCACAAATGACATTCTTCGTGACAAAAAAACAAGAAATTTTCCACGAAATGAGATAATAACTTACATAATCATTTCTAGAACGAGGAGAAAATTGAAGAAAATAAACTGACAGAAACTTTTAAAAGAAAAACTCTTCATCGATGTTCTAACATTCCTTGCGATACATGAATAATCTTTCGTATTATAGTTGTACAATTTGAAAAATTGCAGAGGACAACGAATATAAATAATCGAAAAATTTATAGTGGGCATGATTGGAAATATTATTTCTCCCCCTAATTATGTGCTTCCAAAATTTTCGTTTTCAGTCATGATTCCAATTTAGCCACAACATTACTTTTATTTTTATTATTTTTATTTTTATTCGTTTCTAAAATATTTAAAATTCCAGATAAAAATTATGTCCATGTCTGACAATAAGTGTGTAAGTGACATCGAAACACATATCGGTGTGGTCACGAGCTAAATTAAACTGTTATCGCGTGTAAAGCATTATTCCAAGAAATCGTGGTGGCACAGTCACCCCTCGTACTCGATCTCCTAACCCTATTCCCCACGGCAATGAGAGACGTCATTCCTTTATCTCGTAACAGGAGACGCGAAGAAAAAATAGCGAATTCTGCAGAAAACGGTTAACAATAAAGTGTAATTCAACGAAAATTCTTCCGAGCATATTATGTAACGTTCGCAGGTGGAAAACCTCGAAGAAGGTCGCAATAAGTGAGGATGTACTTGTTTGGCTTTGATACCAGAAAAGTTCTTAGGAAAAGTAATTTTAGTAAGAATTGAGAATTACGAGAGATTTCGAATCGAGAACTTCTTGTTACAAATGAAAACAATTTTACGATGTGAGTCGTCCTAATCGAAAATTAAACGTTCAAATTAGTCTGTACTTTTTAAAGACGTGATAGATTCTTCTAATTTAATTCGATAGCGTTTTTGCTACATCGTGTTGCATATTTGTATATACTCGATGTTTTTTTATGTATTCACACTATCAATGTGCAAACCATCGATGTATGGATAAATAATAGATAGGTAAGTCTTTGTTTGATTTGAATAATTCTCGAATTCCCCTATAAGCAATTACTTATTTTATATACGTATGTATACTTCAAGAGGGTACAGAAATAAGTCGTACTGAATGAAAATTAATTTCTGTATCTGTAGATTAAACTATACAAGCACTGTACTTACTCTAATATAACTACTCTAATATAATCTAATATACAGTATTTGAAACAAATAATTTATTAAATATTGAATAGAGAAACTTTATACGGTAAAAACTCCTTAGAATAATATCATTAACTATTATCTACAAAAACATAAAGATATTAATTTGATAAATAAAATATCATACGTACGAGCTAGTCTACAAACACGCATTGTTTCAACAATTCATTTCATTGCTACCGTATTTCAAGGGAATAAAAATAAAAGCTCATCCTGTACAGTGTTAATCATAATAAACTTAATCTCTGTTACGTTTCTTGATGGAATTTTAATCCCACCACTCGAGACTGCTCCAGTTTAGTTGAGAAAATAAAATAATTCAGCCACCGGTAGAAACAAACGATTACACGTCGGGGTAAGAGCAGATAAATCGAGGATGCGTTAAATCTGACAGAACCAAGTGCAGTTTAGTTGGCCGAGAGGGAAATAAAGATGTAACAAATAAAGCATAATTGACCCTCGAAAGTTGTAAATCAGATACATACTTCGCGTGCGTACACGGAGGGCATCGAGCCGATTCTTGGATACGTAATTTTAGAACTTGGCACGATTCGATTTTATTTTCATTCGAGCCAGAACGTCGCGTCGCGTCGCGACGCGCCATAGCCCCGCGTCGTTTTGTCAGCGGGACCGCGTGCCGTCGCACCGAGATAATAAGTACCCATATAACATTTCTGAATTTTCCCTTCGCATGCCCTTGTACGTGAAATGTATTAAGTTGACGCGTACAAAAAGAGAACATTTACAGAGGTTTTCTTGAAAGGGGATTCGCTATTGTGAAGCGACATCACTTAAATTTGAAATATTGTACTCCGTAAATTAAAACGAGATAATTTATATACATACATGTATATGTGCATACATTCTACGTGGAATTTGTACGCAACTGAACTTCTGTTGTGTACGGAGGAGTTCATGTTATTTACAAATAACAATTACAAATATAGCAGAATATATACAATTTATTAACTGACTTTTAATAACAGAAGAATTTTTGCTCTACGTGCTCCATATCTTCGATTATTCAGTAAAGGTTTTAAACAACTATGTCATATTTCACGCGCCAATATTTTGTAGCCATATTATATCACCTACAACGGACCATTAATATTATATATTGAACACGTGAGCACATTCATCATGTCTGATATTTTGTTTCCGGGACCATCCAACGCACGTATCCTACTATACCAGACACACATGCACAGATTGCTAACCAGCTTAATATCCCAGCAAACTGGTTATAACAAATCATCCGTCAAATAAGGGAGATCATCGTTGAAATTAAATTTTACAAACAGGTTACATTATTCATTAACAATGTTCCCGTATTCGAACCTTCACCATTCGAATTGCGTTTCGTTTTGCTAATAGACTAAATCGCAATCTACACACGTGAAATTCGTAAAAAAGTAGAATGAATCTACAATAACCATGTTCCTGCCACCTAGCGCGACATCGCTTGTATCGTCAAAAGATCTAGGATGTCATTGAATGTTTATTTTTATTTAAAACGATTTAAATCTTCACGATTCGAGCTGGTTTGAATTTTGTCGCTCGATCGCGCGGCATTTAAGTTAAATGGCAATTAGAACAAGGCGTTAGGACAAGGCGTAAGGGAGCCGACGTTGTTCCGATAAACTGGATACGTACACCGGTGGAACAATCGATCACCAGCAGCCCGAGTGAGTTATATAATCATCCCACGTTGCAAAGACTGTGCAAAGGGGACGACCAATCCGATCGCAGGGATATCAAGATGAATGCGCGATGGAGAATACGTGCGACCGTTCCGCGATAAATCAGAAACGGCGAAAACAGACTCTCTCCCCGATGAATTATTGCACAATGCCAGGAAGATAATAATAAACCACTGATTATTATTTCACGAAATTATCGGGGATCAATGGTATAAATCCGACGGAATCGCGTCAGCGGTATTCAACAGAGGATTTATTGTTACACGTGCGCATTGAAATTACAAACATTACGCGGGCTGGGTGTACTCGTACCAATCAGTGTCCATGGTATCATACATAATGATAACTATGACTCTCGTGGATAATTTTGATACTGTTCGAATGATGCCGTGTCACCCTTGCCATATTTCCGATTGCATCGATGGAATTATGAATAATCCAAGAAACAAAAGAAACCGACTGATGAGATCGCTGGAATGCTAAAGTCATTCTGGTAATTACCAGAGAGTGCTTGAGCTCATTAAGCTGTTCGAAGTTGGCGACTTATTTTTTTTCCCAAAATCACATGTCGAAATTAGATGTTCTATCTACTACGATAAACTATTACTATGCTGGTAGAGACCTTTTCGTATCAATGTAATATTGCTGATATAAGTTTGGAATAAATCTGCGTTAAGAAAGGAATCGATTGGTAACATTCGTGAAACAGTAAATTTAAGTCAATTAAGCTGTCCGAGGTTGATGATCGATTCGTTTTCCCAAAATCACACGTCGAAAATAGATCCTATCTACTACGATAAATTATTTTTTACCGAAAGAGATTTTTTGATATTAAGTTAAATACTGTTTTGTTAACATCGTCGTTTCAATAAGAGTATGTTTGGTAATCTTCACCATATCACTTTACACGATATAACTTTATAATAAAGTAAGAATTACTATTGCAGTTCTGTTTGCAACTCTGAAAAAATCAAAGGTACGTTAATTCAGGACTGCCTCGAGTTGCGAATAATTCTGCGTTAAGAATACTTGAAAAGGAAACACTCCACACCACTGCTTATGTTTTTTCAGCTCGAGCCACCACTCGACTCGAACGGTCAGCAGTTATAAAAACAAAGTTGGGAGTAAATGTATACATTCGTTAGTAATTCGAGGAATTCTTGCTTACTCTATTAAACAGGAATTAAACACAACGTTTGAGTCACAAGATTATAAATATTTTCCATGTTATGTGTACGTGGGGCAACGAGACTATGGAATTCATGTTCGTTTGAAATGAAAGCCAACCAATTAATACTATCAATTGTCTTATCATGCGAAGGTTCATTTGTTTTGAACGTAAACTATTACCAAATCAAACGAACACCGTTAAACACTGTATGTATTATGATTCCTTTTCAAAATAAACTATTAAATTGGACAACGAATGTAATGACAGAAACAAGAATAAAATTTTTAATTTAAAGACGAACTAGGAACCGTGTCTTTTGTCATTGTTAAAAATGAAAATCATACATTTCTGTATGTTGCGAAAAACTCACCTTCACGGGAATGCAGAAGATTATGAGCAAAAGATCAGCCGTTGCTAAACCACCCAAAAAGACGTTCGTTGGCGTTGCTGGTAAAGGTCTTAATCTCGGGCACAGTGTGGAGGCGATGATAACGACGTTTCCTGAAATAAAAAAAAAAAAAACTATGAATTAATAAGTTGTCCTCATCATTTATAATTAAAACTTGCCGATTAAAGCTAAATAAGCTCCTCGATATTTATATAACAAAGAATATTGTTATTAGTATAGTAATTCTGTAAAATTATTCGTTTGAAATTCTACAATTAATTTATAAGTACATTAACAGTTCAAATAGTAATATTCACAACGTGATAGTCGAAGTATTATATACTTATGAAAGTTATATTAAGAGTATTCGAATAGTCCCAGCTCGAGTAAAAATAAATTTTACGAACAAAGGAACCCTAACTGCTCAAAAGCTGCATATTTACATTTTTCATAGATTATAGAATCAATAGATCGCTAAATAGTATAATAAATCAGAACAGATCTGATTCCGTTCATTAAAATTTGCGCCTCGACTCCTCGAATGTAATTGAAGATTACCGGAATTTCCTTCCGGTATAATAAATCCAGCTTCGCAGGGTATAGTGACGTTTACTATTAATATTAAGGGCAAACTTTATGTTTGTAGTGCACTTAAAGTTAGATTGCATCTGATGGTTCGTATGCCTCATAACAATCTCGATTCCAAAAGATAATTTGCAACAGCTGCGCTCTAGAATATAGTTTGACATCCTACCGCGAACGTAATTGATAACGCGACTTGATGGATATAATCCTCGCGGATGATCGTGCTTCATTTTTACAGTAACGATCTCGAGAATGTTTGAGCACAGGTAAATTCTTTGAGCTTTACGAATAATCCATGCGGATGATTATGCTCAATTTAACAAAATGTTCTCGTCAGTGGTTATTTATCTTGAAATCAATAAGTATTTGCACAAAAATTCTTTCAGCTTGAATAAGAAAAACATGAAAGAAAATTATAGAAACATACGGAATGCAATTGAAATTAGCATTAGTGCAATTCAAATGTATGCATAATTTGTGTCAATGGGGAATCTAATGAAGATTACGGCTATGACAAAACCCAGGATGTCAGCGATAAAATAAATTATCGCGTCGGTGGTGTTCAAATAAACAACTCGGTGATACAACTTGTCAGGCGATAAGAGAAAATCAAGTGCAATAACAACGCGAGTGGAGAATGTTCACTCCGAAACTGAAGTAGCAGTTCTTTACAGATCAGCAATGCCAAATACAAAAAAAAAGCAGGAATTGAAACAAAGTACAACAAAAAAAAAATATATACATGTCGAATCGAGTAACCTCCTCCTTTTTCAAAGTCGGTTAAAAATGAATCGTTTGATTGAAGTTATAATTTCATGTTTAGTTTCAGGTACATATACTAACGATTCAATTTCTATAGAATTTTGAATTATCGATATAATTTTAAACAAATACTAAAATATTTTACTCATTGCTTGATTTACTCTCTATTTCGTAACATATTCCTTTCTAAATTTTGTAATCATCATTCAAAATTAAATTTCCATCATTTCTGTTTCAAACCTCACCGAACGAGAATATGATACAGTAAATTAGCATTTATCGCTCGTGTTCAACTTGGTCGGTCATTAAAAGGGTCAATATGTACAAAATCCTTAAGTGACTTTTGGAAGACCCTTTATAATTAGCTTCCAAACGTTGAACAAATGTTTGCCAGCACATTCGAAATAGGAGAGATGAGTCTGCAAGCACAGACTCGTGCGTGTGGCAATCAACGATCACAATCTCGCGCGTATAGCAATCAACGCTCACAGACTCCCGCGTATAGCAATCAACACTCACCGACCAAACCGAGGAAGAACGTGAAGGAGTAGACGACGAGGACAGGTCCAAGTTCCGTCCAGTCGAAGTAACTCAACGACTCGTTGATGTCGTAGTCGAGAAAATCGTCCGTCGCATTAGTCTCGTTCGACATGACTGCGATTAGCTTCTTGGTGACGACACTTCAGAGGCTACGACCACTTGTCGAGCGTTCGCGCGAACGTTTTCCATCATGTACTTTTTACTCGCTCCGCGTAACTGCACGGCAATTTGCAAGCGTGTTCCGTCGCTCTCTTTCTCTCGCTCTCTCTTGCAAGCCACCGAGTCCCTCGAGGATCCTCAAAGCTTCACGCGAGGAGGAACGTTGTTCTGTTCCTCGATCGCCGATTTTCTCGCTGGCATGCTTTCCCGCCCAGCGTTTCGACACCGACTTAATCCTTGAAGCAAGAAAAAAAAAAAACACCATTAATTACTTGCCGACGGGAAAAGCAAATTCTGGGAGATGAAAACGGGAAACTGAGAAAATTTGTGGAGTTTATGTGCACTATAACGCAGGAAAAGTTAAGCTTCGTCCTTATGGGGGAGCTTAAGTTTATACGAGACAAGTAATTACTAACGTAAGTAATTATTAACATCGACGGTGTGTTGTAGGTTTTTAGAAAGACGAGGACAACCATGAATTCTGCATAGAACACGAATAACTTTCGTGTGGCTACTTTACGCAGTTCCTGATTGAAAGTTATTATATATTTGTATTTATATTATTTAAAATGGCACGAAGTAATTTTCGAGATAATTAAATTAATTATGACACAAACACGATCACTGCATTCACACGATCGATAATATTTTTACTGAGAAAATAATCAAGAGAAAATCAAGGTTTTAGTTTATGTATCTCGAATATCGAAATAATAGTATAATAATTAGTATATGATCCATCCTAGACAAAAAATTTGATTGTCGTTCTATGATAACTGCTGCTGTCGAATAAATAAATATATAAAGAAATTGATAATTGTTATGGTCATTAACTTAAAAATAGCTTCACTACCTTTTATCCTTAATTGTCTGAAAATCGGTGGAAACATTTGTGTAAATAAATTAGAAACACGATTTTAATCAAGTAAGCTGATAGAAACCATTTAAATGAAAACACTAAAGCAACGTCACGGGATGTGCCCCAGAGTAAACTTCAGTTTCGTACTTTCTGAACTGAAACTGCATATTTATATTCATCTTGCAAAAAGATTGCATGCCATACTATTAATTTTAAATCAAGTTTGTCACGAATTGATAATAAAATTAAATCAAAGATTAAACATGTAGACAATGAGTATGCGACTTTAAAGAAATTAATTTGGTATCAAACATAATTCGATCGTGGTAATTATATATTATATTTTCAAACCTTTTCGGTGCGATGAATTTCCCGAACGGAAAGGCTTACGCGAAACCAGAAGGTATAAATTATTCACCAGCATCAGACATGTCCGAATCGTTCCCAAGAGGATAACATTTTAATTTTATGCGCTTCCTGTACAGCTCAACCGGAGCGGTTTGGAGCTCTATTAATTTACTCGGCCGACAAAGTACACGATGCTTTTAATGAACCCCGGCTTCACCCTCTGCTACAATACGTGAAATTCAATTTATGCTTCGCATCCGATACGAAAGTCATGTGTCGCCTGCAGAATATGCAATTTACCCGGCTTCGAATGCCTCCCTGGGTCGATTAAGTCGTCAAACACATTAAGAACCACTAATTATAGTGCTCGTGTAATTCTGTAAAATAACGGAGACTGGACTATCGAAATTGCGGTGAAGCCCTGACCGAACGGAGAACATTTTGCTCCAGCTTAGCAACGCCAACGATAAATTATCGAGGATACTATGGAGTATATGAATGCAGAAAACAAGAAGAGGTAAATAAAACCTTACTGTGATCTTGTATCGATGATCATCTTTGTTCTCTTTTCCTTGCTTTACGTATTTCGTCTCTTTTCGTCTAAACAATTATTTACCAATTTCTCTATGGTGGGAAAAAAAGTTATTTTTAAGATTTTTTCTTGCTCCATGTCCATGTCTTTACTCCCATGTCATTCAAAAATTAAAAATCAATCTTAAAAATTGCTGACTTTTAGTGAGAGAGCAACCTCTGACAGCATTCTTATTATATAAAATAGCGTGATAGCAATTATCAAACGACCTTGTATATCGAGGATAGAAACTACGATTGTATGGCGTGGTATCCAGAAAAGTTGTTTCTATAGCCGCACGCCGAATTCACAAGGAACTGCGCTGACCAGTTGGCAGAATGCAGATACGGAAACTGGAAACTTTTCACTCGGCAAAGATACATTTTTCGCGGTTTTCTCGCGCCGTCGTCCTACTTTAACGCAATTGAGAAGTTTCAACGGAATCACGCAACGTATAATACAAGCATCAGGATTCCCAGAGAATCGAGCGGGAAATTTACATTAATCTGCTCGGTTCTTGAGAACTGAGCTGTGACCGTTGCACTTTTAATACAACCGAGACGTCTTGGATATCTGTTTTAAAAAAAAGGCAGCAGAAAAGTGTAGTTGTGTAAAATCGCGTGTAATAATTTATATTTAGATTGCATCTGTAGAATTATTACATTTTATAGTCATATTCTTAATCTAAATTATAATAATAAATTATAATAATAAATTATAATAACATTATTATTATAAATATTTTCATTCTAAATCTAATTGAAAAATACAGGTACTCCTGTTACTTGTAAATGACTTTCTAATTTCACTTCCTTATTTTTTATCTTTGTTTTCGATTTAAATGAAACTGTCGTCTTAAAAGTTCACTTATTCTATAATTATTTGAATTTATTATACCTGAAGGGAACCGCGAATTAATATTGTCCAATTAATAAAGTAATCATTGCCTTTGACAGGCTTAATTAGATCACATCTATATGCATATTTGTGTAATAGAAATGATGAAATACACGATGGCTAGCCTGCGAATTTTATGCATTAATAGTATACTTTATGTAATATGAACACGATTTACAAAACGTATACAGAATATATTTGATAATATCATTGGTATTTATTCTATTTCTTCACACTATAAATGGATGCTCCTAGTAATCAGTAGCTACCGATTATCTTTCAATCGTGCCATAAATTCACCAGCAAATAATGCTTATGTTACCGATGACACGAATCCCCTTGAAACTTTATCGTTAAATAACTGCTAAGCCATCAACCGTCCACCCGTAAAACCCTACGCCAGCGGCTTCAGGAGCCTATCAAAGCAGCCTATTAAAAAGCGAACATCGTACTGAAGTGTGTCTCGTTGCAAGCTCGACTCCGTTTGAAAAGATTGCCGTGCGACGCCCGCGAGTGCTCGTTTTCAAGGATTTCTCTCACGGTTTTATAACGGGACGAGTTTTCAATAAGCAAAACCCAAGTAATAAAATCATCAGGTCGCGAAACGTGTTGCGCTACCATCGTCGCAGCCGTGACCTCGGCAGCAAGCTTCGTTAAATCTGATTGCAGATCGAGATTCGCTTCGTCTTCGCCGTTGAAATTGAGTCTCGGACAAGAAGCGCTTTAGACGCGAACACGATCCGCGTGATGTTCCCAAACAAACGGTTGCCGAGCTTCCTGGCCATTGTACACTTTGCACGGATGATGTTTTTCAACGATAATTACAGTACTTGTCGAGTCAGGGTAACTCGACTTAGTAGACGTACATTACACCGTCGCATTTGTCATTTTTTCGAAGAGGCCAAGTAAAGAGGTGTTTTGTGATAATTTCTTGTGGAAGTAGAACAATCATATTTGAATTCATCGACAGGGTTTTCAAATAATTACGTAGATGATTTACTTAAATTTTGGTTAATTTCCAGCTGACGATGCCTTTTATTTTCACTGTTAAAAAGAACGATGAGAAATTCTCGTTCGAGACAACTTCTAGAGTGACGCAATTAATGTTCCTTAATTTTCGAATTTTTTGTGTATCAATTTCTGAATCGATTCGCACGTCATTGAGCGAAATAAAATGAAATAAATTTAATACAATAACTGACTAAACTATAAACATTTTTTTCGGCTCACGCGGTTTTCTATAAAGAAAACAACGATTTCGATTTACACGTTCCTCTGAGAACCCGATATTCCGAGTAAATTGGGGGGGTAGGTGTATAAATCTATTATCGATATAAAGAAAAAAAAAGAGTACAGCGAAAAATTGCACCTGCACTTCGTCGAATCAATCCTCGTACAACTGTTTGAGACAGCTTCGATTTATTCAGGCTGGACGTATGTATTGGACTTGGCTCGTACGCTTGAAATATATTAGACATTACACCAGAGAGCATATGTCGTTAATATGCATTGAATATGGGCACGACAATAATATCGCTCGTGTATCCAGGTACTGAAAACGTAAAGGGTGTGTTCCACTAGAATCGAATCTCAGAAACATGTTTTGCTTACACAAGCTATACAAAGTAATTCTAATAAAAGATCTCTCCAAGTATAGTATTGGTTAAAGATTCGACTAAAAGAATGTCTGGCTCCCATCAGTAGAGAAATGTAAAACTAATTAGAAAGCAGAGAAATTAATTGTCTAATAGGGACCGTTAACTGTCTATTCTTCGTACTATTTACAATTTAGTACAAAAATAAGAAGTAGATTCTCTGACATGCGCGTCCTCTTGAAGTCAATATTTTATTAAAGAGGCTCGTCCAGAAGGAATTTCTCCGCTGAGAGATAGAACATGATTGACTCCCTGTGACCGCACGACTGGAAGGAACCCTCGACGAACCCAAATTATTTCAAATCCTCGCATCAGCTTTGCGAGTCAGCTCCGGAAGAGCGGAACTCGTGTCCGATGTAGCTACTGGATGAACTTCCCCATATCATCATGAACAAATTAACCCTGATTCACAGACCGATCTGTGATTTATCAGATCGACACAATTTTAAACTCGGGTGGAATCAGCGAACAGGTGCTCAGAGTTAAATGATTTCCTATTCCTTTCAGTTAGCGAGCCAAGTGAATTTATAGTTCACTCCAAGGCAATCCCAGTTGGTAAATAATCCGTTCCTCGATTCACTAATTCGCACGTCTAATTGCTTCGCGGAAGTCCAATCGAAGTTGTTACATAATTGCGCATTCATGTCGAATTGGCAATTAACGTGCGCCATCGCATTCGAAAATATATCCTGTCACGACCGACCACTTTTTAATCTAATGTACTTTTCGTGTTTCGTGTCAAGTGTTTTAAGTGCGATCTTAAAACGGATAGAACTTCGCGTTGAAGCCATATAATATATCTACCACCGGACGTCCCCGATGAATGCAAATGTATCTTTAAAAATTGTTGGGTCTGACTTAAAATCGAGTTGGAAAAGAGCCTTCTCGAACGTACTTCTACTCGTC